ACATGTTGAAATTTGAACTATACGACATTATAAAATTACACAAACCTCGCTTAAAAACATATGAAATTGACAAAATACTCGAGGATAAAGGACATTCAGTTTAATGCTATAGAGTTAGTATCTAGTAGACATAGTTCTATGAAGGAATATGTCGCTGAAAAAAATGTCAGTTGTGATTTTAAATTGTGATGAATTTTTTAATTTGTTTTCAGTTGAAAAATAGAAAAAGAGGTGTGAACATGTTAAAAAAATAGAACAAATAATCCGTGGTGGATCAAATAATCAATAAATGTAGGTGTTGATAGTGACAGTGATTCTGAAAATGACGAGATGGACTCTGATTCTGAGTCAGATGATTAAGAAATATGAACCTGAGACACTCATGTTGCAATTCTTCAGAAACTGTTAGGTATTATGGTATTATAAACTTTTAATAATTTTTTAGAAATCATGTTATTTTTATTTAGTTCTCCGCGGACGATTGTACTAGTCGAAACGAAAAAATTTTTAATTTCCCGCCTTAATCTTTTATAGGGCCCCTACACGATCATTAATAATCACATTATAAAATATGTTGCATTCTTATTTTTCTTATTTTATATATGAAATAATTATATAATAATAAATATCTCATTTTTTAAAGAGTTTACACTTTTTTCATACTTTGGGTAAATATTCAAAGATAAAGGCGGCTTTTATCAAAAGGTACTGGTACAAAGACACCATTTTTATGCTTCACCGGAACCATTGTTTATAAACCACTACCGTAGTGGTAGTGCTTTAATCAATGCCGGAATGGAACATCTAATTTCTATTAGTATTGCATTAGACGATTTTATTACTTTATTACCTTACTGCTTACGCCCTTTTTCTCCGAAACCTTTTGGTCAATATAATGGTAATATAAAGTGTAAATCAGAGAACTACGAACACAGAGAAGCGACACGAGCCCCGAAATCCGTGTACCGTTTCTGTATACGCATGCCCGAACCTGGTTGCTTTACTGTCAAAAACACGTGCGTTTCTTCAACTCTGGTTGTTTACGATAGTCCGTAGGCACCTGTGGTAAATACTCGACTATACAAGTCTAATCTAATCTAATTTACTTAGTAGTTAAAAGTTTATAGTTATAGTTAAAATATATAAGTTAAATATATAAGTTAATAGTTATAATTTATAGTTAAAAGTTTAATTTATAAGTATTTAAAATGTCTTCTGGTTATTGTTGTGCGTTTCGCGGATGTTTATCTGTGACAGGAAAAGGAATAAGTTTATGAAAATATGTAATCCACCATTTTGTAGGCGGCCATTTTGGATTTTCTATAATGAACTCTTTTCTACTAGTCAAGCCCTTTCATTTGATACCCATATTGAAGTAGTTGTAAAAAAATATGTAATCCGCTATTATGTAGCGGCGTCCATCTTGGATATACAATGATACTGAATGTATGTAGTGTATGTATAGTCGATTCGCTAATCTCAGATACAACTATCTAGTATTTTAGTAATTATTTTATTGCGAAAGTTAGATACATTTTAACATACTAGAACTGGATGACAATTACTATATTTACAACCAAGCACATATACTCATAGCCAATATTAAGAGTAAACAGACATAAATATTACTCCAATCAATCATTATTTATTTACACCATAATATAATTCCACAACAGACAACGGAAGATTTGACGAATTATTTAAAGGTAAATGCTCCAAATATACATTTCTACTTCAAGAAGTTAAAGGTTACGGAGTACCAAGCAAGCTTTAAAGTTTCATATCCATTGGATTATAAACATGAAGTTCTCAATTCCAGTATCTGGCTTGAAGGTTCAATGGTTCGTCGTTTTGACTTCAAGTATAAGAATTGTACTAACCGCAGTTAACAACAAAACCAGAAATAATTGTTACAAATCCGGCTTAGGCAAACTAGATACTACAAATAATTTTAAAGGCAATACCAATCAATTAAAAATCGTATGTATAGTAAACAAAATAAATTGTATGGAAATATTACTTAAAACTGAAAGTCTGGATTTACTATGTATATCCGAATCATGTGTAATGACAATAATATAAATTTTTTTTATCTTCCTAATGCTCTCTTGTAATGATTCGTAATACTTTTTTGATTATTTTTTAGGTTATTACATTTTTATATTTATAGAAATATACTCGTACAATAGTTACTTCTTGAATTTTTATTCGTTTTTAGTCGAATATTGTTTACTCCAATATTCGACTTTAAAGGAAAAATGTAATTTTAATAGGTTTCCAAGACATTAACAATCGATATCAATATAAAGTTTCTTGTTTCTCAGTCTCACTCAAAGGGAATTGGAATTTTTAGAGTTTGTGAAATTTCCGTGGCAGTTACAATGGCTTTGTTATTTTTCGATCATATTACGATAGATAATTTATTAGGAAATTCCACGACGAACAAATTAGATCTTGTATCAACACAAGCCAAAAAGAATCGGTGTATTATTGTATTATCAATGCCAACATCAGAATAAACAAAAAAGTATTTTCATCTATGGTTCCATCAATACGATTTTCACCATTACTTTGCGTTGTGCGATACTTGCAACCTTTTGTAAATCAAAAATAATTACACCATTTAGAATGTCAACAAAAGTAGGCCCTGCATGTAATTATTTTTTCAGTGCAATATTTCATATTTATTGAAAGGCAACATAAATGCTCAATTTTATTTAAGCATTTATATTGTGTGATATGCCCACTGACTATTAGTTAGCTGGTTACATTTTCACTCATTGGCGGCTTGCCCACGCAAGATCAAAGGAGTGTCGCTTCTCTGCGTTCGTAGTTCTCTGGTGTAAATGGTCAATATAAAAATATAATTTTTGGTTTATAATGCCATAATTTATAGCAACACAAGCAGTTTATGTTGGATCTATTTTTTTACATCTCACTTTGTAGAACAAATACCACCAAACACCAATATACTGAAATATACTAAAGAAAATTAATGACAATAATAATAATTGTGCACGGGACCTATTAGAAATTATTCAAACTTTACGTTTCCATATTTGTGTCTCCGATTGTACCTATATTCACCTATATTCAAGTTCACCCGCGCGTACAGGCCATCTTTTTCTTTCTTAGTATGTTCTCACTTCATTGTTCGCGCAGGCAGTTAGAATTTCAGACTTTCAGCTATTTTTGTTGAACTGTACGCAGAATATTATCGCACTTTTAGATGTTTTCTGTATATAAATATTGAATATAAATATAATAGTATACATAAATATTGATGTTAATAAATACATTTTATTAGATACCTTAACGAGTACACAACAATCATTAATCTATGGTTATTTTGCTGCATGTAAATGATTAAAATATAAATTGCCAGGATATGGCTTGCAACAATATTGTTGCTTTATCGCATTCAAATTTCTAAGAATCTACTGCCTACAAATTTGATTATCAACTATAGGGGGCTGAATGGCATAAACAACAAAAATTTTAAAATATAATATAAAGACGGTACTAGATTTTTGTTTCAATACATAGCGGCGGCAACCGCTTATACATATTTCGACCTCTTTAGATCTCGTCAGAGCGGTATAGCCAGCTATCTGGATCGAAACAAAATCTATTCCCGTCTTAAATAATAGTTATAAAATAAAAATTGAATTCGATTTCGCCAGGTAGAAATCGTTTGATTTCTTTTTTTGTTATTAGATGGCGTAGTTACGTCCGTATATAGTTATTTCATAACTATTGTTTAAGACGAGAATAGATTTTGTTTCGGTCCAGAGAGGTGGCTATACAGCTCTGACGAGATCTAAAGAGGTCGAAATAGGTATAAGCGGTTGCCGCCGCTATGTATTGAAACAAAAATCTACTATCGTCTTTATATTTTATTTCTTTACTCCGTTTGGAGTACCAGAAACTGAATTCACTACGAATTTTGACCATGATAAACGACTTATCATGTGGAATGTAATCTTAGATTTCCTTGTCGACTTATTTATCAAGCTGTTTGCTTTGCAAGTTTTAGAAAGCACGGTGGTGAAAATTGGAATTCGATTTCGCCAGGTAGAAATCGTTTGATTTCTCTTTTTATCAAAAATTTTATTTAAAAAATCGTTTATAAAAGGTATATAAGTTAACAATAAAACTTCGTTTTTGGTAGTTAATGTTTTATTATACTTATAAAAATATATAAAATCACGGTAGAAAACACTATATTTTTACAAAAATAAACGTATAAAAATATCAATATATATATAAACATTTACAATTACTTCAATATACACAGAAACAAAATAAATATAATATTATTGCATCGTTTTTGTTTTTCTATACACAAAAACAGTTTCCTCTTACTTATAATATATATCATAACAACTGTCCTTGTATATTTAAAAACAAATAAATCCATAAAATAAGATAAAGAATATAACATTTTAAAGGATAACACATAAATCCACGAAAACAATAGAGTTTACTGTATGGGCACAGATTTGTTGAGAAAATTTATAATTTTATTCCGTATGGCATTTGTCATCTGTCAATTGAAAAAATGACGTTTCCATCATTCAATAATTTCATTTCGTATGAAATCGACTTTAGGTATGCCAATATCAAGTCAATTATGTTTTAAAGATCTATTTTCTTTATAAGTTTAGTGCTCCAGGGTTACAATATGGCAAATTATATTTTAACAACGTTTTAACAAACTTAAGTTACAATGCTGATGAAATTATTAAAACCATTTGACAAAGTTTGAAATTACAGAAATTACAGAAAGACGTAAACTTTTATTTTATTGGTTATCAGTTTTTAGAGAAGGAGCAGCAATACACAGAACCATCAAGTTTAGAATCAAAACCAATTCCCTGTGAAAAAAAAAACAAACATACTCTGACGGCTTAAAAATAAGTAGGGGAAAGTCGGCTAATGATGCGCAATAATATTTCTAATCTCTTATTTATTAAAATGGCAAAAACTATATTGTCGCGCTATCTATTAGCAACTGTCAGATACATCACACGCAAACAAACGTCGGGAGATACTTTACCGGTTGGCAGGTATCGTTTACACGTGTCCGCGTGGTATGTTATTTTTTGTGTATTGTGAGAAAGTAAGCGGTTATTATAGTTGTTTTTTGATAGAAATATAGTTTAAAAAGTACATATACACGATGTTTATTTGCCTTATAGACACTTAATAGTTTTGCCCGATTCTTTTTTATTTTTATCCAATTTTGTGTTGTGTGGTGAAGTGGAAGAACGTCTAATGGTGCGCATTGCACAATCAGCCGACAAGGTATATAACGGAATTTTGTTACGTTTTTTGACATCCATAAATTCTGTCAATGAAATTGAAGATTGATTTTGTATTGTTTCGAAGGTTGTCGATCATCATGATTATTTAAACTTTGTTCACTGTCGCTTTAAAAAACTTGGCCACTCTCTGAGATTGCGCAACCATGACATCTTCCTTCCAACGATATGTTTTCCTAAAATCTTTCCCTGTATAATACTCTCCAGAAGCTAATATTTTGTTTCTCTTATTATGTGGTTTAAGGTATTACAATTTTCGTATCTGTATTTCATTATTCGGTTGTGTTTCTTTTGAAAGTTTCCGCAAGACTTCTTGATTCGTGACTATATCAATGTAAGATATTTTTAGGATTCTTCTGCAAATCCACACCTCAAAAACTTCACTTTTCTCATCATCGCTTTAGTCAGAGTGGCTACCTCTAGAGGATGATACTAAATATGTAACACCTATTCATAGATTAGATTCACTGAATGTAGATGGCTACAGAATGAATGGTAGTCGTTACCTGGTTATGTGATTTTCTTATATGGAGATGACAGTAGGTAAAATCTGAACAACGTAGCATTCCTAATAAGGCTGTGAGTTTTTTTCCGATTAAAGTTCCATTTACCAGGTGACTTTATAATTTCTTCACCCACTGTATCTTTCTAAAAATCTCAGAAAACAGTTAGCTAAACAACTTGAGAATTTAACCATGTAGGTTTCACAAATTCGTACCATCCAACCCAACTAGTTTTAAACTATTCTAGAAAGCCCACATGGTTAAAACACCAATTTTTATCTGAAATTCCAAAAATTAAAAAGTTTCATATGAAACTACTTTAATTTTTCCAACATCGCCTCAAAGCGATGGCAGAACTTCACTTAAATGTATAATAAATAATATCCTAGTATGAGGTGTATGTTCAAGCAGCTTTTGGTGCTATTAGAATTGGAAATCTGCAGACGTATTGACTACAGCTTCTCTGTTTAACGGCTTCCATGACTTCTTGGAGGTGATGAGACGCTTGGGAAGCAACTTCAGGGTGTAACCTGGAAAGATACATATTAATTAATAGAGTACTTAATATTTAACAGTGCCTAACTTAAATTATTCAAGAAATAAACACATAACAATAAGTAATAAAACCATTCGTTTTGTCAAAAGTACTTGTGATTGTTTGTGAACACCTAGTTAGGTTACTTTGTACAAAAATCCATTATAAATGCCGAATATATCAATATTCATTTATTATTTCTGACATATTATTTGTCTATAATAGGATTTTGGTCCAGTTGTTTCCATATATACAGTCTTCATCTCATGTTTTCCTAAATAATTAATTTAGGTTTCTCTTCGAAATCTTATTAATTTTTTCTTAACATTAAAATTTTCACAACTTCATTACATGCCATAAAGAAAAGAAGGAGAATCGCAGTTCTTCTGTAGATGTAGTTTTAACCTTATATTACATCTATCTTCTTCTTCTAGTTTCATGATCGTTATCGACCGTTGGATATTATGTTAGCTACCATTTTCGCTATAGGCATTTTATTGACAGCAGTTCTAAATAATAGTATATTCAATATTTCTTACCACTGTCTTAAATTTATCAGCCATGATGTTCTTCTTGTATCAGGGCCACGTTTACCTTCCATGAATGATCAGATGCAAAAGTTCATATTTTTCAGGGTGTCTCATAATTTGACCGAAGTGTTCCAGCTTGCGTCTCTTTATTATATTGACCAGTTGTGTTGTTTGTTTTAGGCGTCTAAGGACTTTCTCATTTGTAACTCTGTCGGTCCAAATAAGTAAATAAATATTAGTCGTCGATATAGTTACAAATCAAAGGCTTCCAGGAGTTTAAGCATAGCCTCATTTAGAGTTCAATATTCTACTCCATACAGTAGCACTGGAGAGATATAGCAATATGTCATTCGAACGCGAAGCATGTCTAATATTATTCTCAGTTACATCATTCACAATAATACTTTCTGTTGACTCGATGAAGGCTTCCTTAAATACTTCCTATGAATACAAGCATTAACTATGTATTATTCGCAGAAAGATCTTTAAAACGTGACTTATTGTTCGATAATCACTGCATTTTCGATATGCAGATAATACTGTTATACTGGCCGATAACATCGAAGATTTACAGATAATGCTAAATAGAAGTTCCACGAAGAAATAGAACTCGTTCCACGTTGTTCTCCGAGTGCAGAGGTTGTCTCTCACCCGGCTCTGGAACCCATTTGAGCCATGTGTTACCTTTGGTCAAATTTAATTTAATATAGAACATCACAGTTATTTTATAACACAATGTACAACATTTCATAACTAAATGTAATTTAAAGGGTTTTTACCCTAATATTTTGGTGGCTCAGGCATTATGACCTAGCATTTTTCGATTTTAATAACCTGATGATGGACTGTGTAGTCCGAAAACGTTTGTTCTATTGATGTGGCCCTTTTAAGGGTTTTTTAAATAAATATACCCATTTACAAAGATTAACCTCTTTTTGTTATACGTGATATACAGCCAGCTACAGGAATTTTTCCTTGTGGATTTTTTTAATCCTTTAAATGTTTTCGACTTTCTAAACTTGACTTACAAGTTCCATATTCCGCCTAGAAAAACTTTTTAATATGTTTAAAACGTGTGCTAAATTTTGTTAAGATCGGTCGGATAGGTTTTGCATAATAATTTTGCAATCCAGCCTACTAGAAAAAAATCGCAAATTTTCAAATTCATAGTAGGCCCTAAATAAGGCCTTCAGATAGTTGCAATTTTTTTTTACATATAAAGGAAGTCTCACACTTTCAAACGCTTTTTGTAAAATTCAAATCGGTTTACTAGGAAAACCTATAAATTTTTTTAAAATTATAAACATTTTTTAGGCTTATAAACAAATTAAATAACTTTAAGAGCTTTAAACATATCAATTTCAAAATGTATACACTTAAAGAACATTAAAAGACGCTTCTTTTAAGAAATTAAAAAGATACATTCGGCTTACTGGTTGCCGAGATATTGAAGGTCAAAGTTGGTATACATTTGCCGTGTAACCATAAGTGATAGAGGGCTCGTTTTTTAAACAAATACCCTCGTCTTGCCAAATACTTTTTATATGAAAAGTTTTACGTAATGCGCTTCATGGCAACATCCATAAAAAACACAAATAAAAAACCGTTTTCGCGCAAAATGTCGCTCGGAATCGATGAGAGGTGGTGGTGAGGGACATTCACTTCAAATGTGAATCAGCGAGTATCAAGTAGGGGACCATCACTTTGTCGGGTTTTGAAATATAAACAAAAGTAAACTGCTCCAAAATCTGTAAGGGCTTGTAAAGTAAATTGTTACTTTTAGTAAACAAATATGTATTTATAAATTGTTAATAAATAATTTGAATTGTTAAAACGAAGGAAATTTTTTTTTGTAAAAATCAAACATTTTAAAATAATTAACATTAAAAATAATTTATTTCTGCAGTTTTATCATAATAATGACATTATTTGATTTGAGAATATATTTTGATTCGAAAGTGACGTGTATATTGTATATTGACGTGTTATTATACTGCTGTGTAATGTTCGAAATTGTTTTTTTTTGAGCTTGCAATTTATACATTGAAGTAAATTGTTACTTTCAGTAAACAAATATGTATTTATAAATTGTTAATAAATAATTTAAGTTGTTAAAACAAAGGCGAATGAAACAAAAATTTTCTTTTCATAAATAATCTTTATTTTGACTCAATCTTCAATATTTTTTTTTAAATCTTTTTCTTTTTCTGGAAGGACAAGAATCTTCAGCTTTTATTTCTTCCTCAAAACCTTCATTTTCCATTTCAATATCTTCATCCTCGATCTGTAAATTTAATGTTTCTTCTCCTTCATCTGTAGCTATATCTTGTGCCTCCAAAAAATCTAAGGAATCTATCGACTCCATATCCATATCTCGTTCAACTTCTTCCAATATTTTATTGTGATCAATATTTTTACATGTTTGACCATTGCAGTGAAGACAATAGTCAGAACATTTGAGACCATGTTTGATACAACTGCATGTTTTTGTACAAAGTTTTTTACATTTGCAACTAATATTTCTGAATAATGAGTCAGGTAGTAATACTTGCTCAGTTTGTATTGGCTCAAGACCATTTTGAGTTAGTTCCCACCCCCACTCAGTAGCATTCAGGTTATTTCCAAGCCACTGCTCTACGTGGAAATATACACGAAACGAGTGTTGCTCAGCTGCAGATTGTGTAGGTGGCAGCATGGACAATTGAAAATTTTTATTTTTGCAACCTTTTTTAAAGCACAAGTCGTGAATTTTATTCAATGTAAAATCGTACTTTGAGTGACCCATATACAATGCCGATATAATTTTGCATCCGCCGCGTTTAATTTCTTCCTTAGTTAAACTTTTTTCATTAAAAATGGTTTCTTCTTGCCATATATAATTATTTGTTGAAACCAATTTAACAATTTTGCTTTTTCCTTGATAAAAAAATTCAGAGGTTCTATCACAACCAGAAAATGCGTGTAAAAAGCCCACTAAATTTTTTAACGAAGATTAAAAGAGTTGTAGTAATAAATTTCTTCCGATTTTTTTTCCTTTGCTAGGTTTCCAGAAAAAAATATTTTTATTTTCAGTTACTTTTTGTAAAAATATTACCAGAACATCAATATCATCTGCAATTATAAAAACTGGCTTGTTATCTGAGGCTAATATATACTTGATACTCGCCGATTCACATTTGAAGTGAATGTCCCTCATCACCACCTCTCATGCATTCCGAGCGACATATTACGCGAAAACGGTTTTTTATTTGTCTTTTTTATGGATATTGCCATAAAACGCTTTACGTAAAACTTTTCATTTGAAAAGTATTTGACAAGACGAGGGTATTTGTTTAAAAACGAGCCCTCTATCACTTATGGTTACACGGCAAATGTATGCCAACTTTGACCTTCAATATCTCGGCAACCACTAAGCCGAATGTATCTTTTTGTTTTTTAAAAGAAGCATCTTTA